GCGTGTGTGTGAGCGCGCACGGCACGCGGCCGGCGCTAAATCAAAAGGTAACGACCACCGAGAAGAGGCAGTTGGAGGAGGGGGGGTGGCGCGCGGAGAAGGCAAAAGGAGCTGCTTCCCTCCTCCTCCTCCTCCTCCTCCTCTCGCCCCCCCCTCGCCTTCCAGACCTGAAGAGCGGAGTTCTGAGGGGAAACAAATACTGCAATAATCTTCGCGCCCAGCCACGCCGGTCTCAGAGGGTGCGAAGAGATAGGCTAAGCCAGGGGGTGTGTAGATATGCCTCCGTGCTGTCGGTTCATCTGCCGCAAGACCGTGACACCAAGTTATTGGCTTGGCTGCGAGAGCACAAAAATAGCCGGCCAAGGTACAGGGCCAAGGGACGTGCCTTTTGCTAAGGCTCCCTTGGCACCAAGTAGGGGCAGGTGGGCCTCCCTCCCTCCCTCAAGAGAGAGAGAGAGAGAGCCTGGCACGCTTGGAAGGCGCGTCGTTGACTTGTCGGGAGTAAACGACCCCCGACTTGGCGATACGTGAAAGGAGGCAATACGGCTCTCCTCCTGAGCGTCGCTGGATAGCCTTTTTTCTTGTGTCAAGGAAACGTCTTGATAATCGAACGCCTTTTGTCAACGCCCCATTGTCACTTTATTATTGCCTGTTTATCTGTATTCTCACCTGGTCATGGGCGGGAGGTGCATTTAAGCGAATGTATTTGCACTCCAGTGCCTGAGGAAGTGGACTTTGAACCACCAAAGGTCACAGGGGAATAAAAGTATTCGTTTTAAAAGTGGCAAGATAATTTGGTTCTATTCTTGAGTTGGGGGTGAGGTGAACAGCAAAAGGAAACGGCCCAAAGAGGAAAGGGGAAAATAATATTTTAATCTAGTTACTCATTTTCAATCGAATTGACTTTGTGAGCAATGAGTCTCATTCATTCTTCATATCCTACCATTCTTGCAAGAAAGGCAGCATAAATAAATGGGACACTACTGTAGAAGCATTTTTGCCCACATCTTTTTGTTGTTTTCAGGGGTTTCAAGGGAGAGTGTACTCAGAAGTGGTTTATCATTTTCTTCTGGGGCCACCCTGGGCCTGTGCAACTTCCCCAAGTCCACACACACTAGTTCTTCTTGGACGCACTGTGGGGAAGTTAATTTCCAACCTCTGGCTCCACAGCCAGATAACCAAACCATTTATCCAGCTAATGATAAATTGTTCTACTTTTTAAAAAAAACATGTCATATGTTTTCATGTTTCCTACTTCAGTTGGGTAATTGAGGATTGGATTACGTATTTGTCTTGTGTTTATCTTTGAATCTCATTTAAACTTTAAACAGGACCTTGTCATATGAAAGGCAGTGCACACCCTAGTCCTTTGTTTTTGGTATTTGACTGTTGATTGTTGAAGGAACTACACATTGTTTCCTTTCAAAGTGCCTTTCCATTCTTTTGTAAGTATTTCTTGACATGTTTGACTGCCACTTAATATCTGAGCACTTAATTTCCACCATCTCTCTCTCTGAACATTAACTCCCCCCCCCCGTGAAAATACACTGGTAGGTAGGATGGATGGATATTTGCAAATTTCTCTTTGTTGCAAATTATCTTGGCAGTTAATGTTTTCCAAACAGTATATACCAAATGTCAGTTGTCATTATGTATACAGTTGTCACTCTGGTTGCAATAAACCAGGAAAAGTATTGTTGCTGCATATTAGCTACAAACAGGCATAAACCAATTTGTAACACACACTCAAGTTGTTGGACTTTTTCCTATGTGTTTTAATCCAACATATCAATACACATGGTGAGAGATACTGTGGGGGGGTAGTTGATACTGTTGCCATGGGCATGTTGGGGTCTCGGTATGATGTCACATGACAGGAACATTGTACCCTCCTCCCATTCCCTCTTACATAGTCATGATTCATAAATCTTTGGACATGCATTTTTAAATACTGTATGGGTTTTAAAATGGAATCGGTCGTCCATATGTGCAAATGGAGAGGCAATGGAGAAAAACAGGACAATGACAGATGGATTATGATAGTTGAGGGAGGAACAAGGGGCTGGTGAACAGGAGGGTGGGAATAAATAGAACAGAGGAAAAAGATTTTGAACCACTGTACGGCTTAGTGTCATGTACTATGACAGGTGTCACTTCAGATTTTATCAGGTTTTTCTTGGGAGTGTAGTTTCAGATCCAGAATATAAAAGACCACTGAGGTGGCAAATAACAGCCTTTTCCCCCTCATGTAACCTCATAAACATGTGTTGCCTGCATCCTATATTTCTGATAGCAATACAGTACAGTAATTGTTAAGTGTTATTATTGTATTGACCACTGATATGCATAGCAATTTCTAGTTAGGTTAGCTTGGGTCATAAATTCTTTCTCCCCCACCCCACCCCAAATGCTCTCATCCAACATTCACAACCTAGTTTTCAGTATATCTTTGTTCTTGATACAATACACACAGTCTAAAATACTGAAAACATTCCACAGCCAATTACCACAAGGCTGAACCTAAAAGGAGGAGAAAGGCTTAAGGAAGGACAAAAAGCCCCGTATAATGTGATAATTCAGTATTATTTTAATTTGCTTTAAATAGGTCCCATAAAAGCATTTTTATAGACATAAAATGTTAATAATGATAAAAATATTTGATCCTAAGTAAAACAAAGTAAGGTGGAGAATAAAATTTAGCACAAAAAGACTAATTAGATATATTGAGCAATACAGAAGTCAAAGATCTATACCCTTTCTCAGAACAGTGCTTAATTTATGGTTCTGTGTAGAAATGAACATTTTGTTGCAACTTAGTCATTGGGCTCCTCCTGCTGTTAAATAGTTTTAAACAAAGGAAGTGCATCTGGCAAAATGTAAGGATCTGGATTTGGAAAACAAAGTAGCTCTGGAAGAATACTTTTGTAAGAACAAATAAATCTTAACAAAGGAACAGGAACTTGCTTTGGAGGTTAAATTTCAGTTTAGAACTTTGAAAAGGTGTGATGCAGAACTCAAAAAATAATGCAGCATGTCTGGTGGCTCCAGGCACAATGATTTAAGATTTCTGAAGTCATACATAGCATGGAGATCCTTAAGAAGAAAAAGAAAAAAAACCCTGCCCGGTTTATTAGTTGTTAATATCTTCCTAATCCTCTGGAGTAGGTGTGTGGAATGTACAGTATTTGGAAGAAAACGTGCTTCTTGCCCAGTTCTCTTAAATTCGACTGTTCTTACGGCAGAAGATCTGCAGTGGATCCTGCCCTATACAAGAAATAATTCTTTTTAAAAATTGTCTTTTAAAAAAAATAAGTATGGATTTTCATAGATCTGTTTCTGGTTTCATTACAAGGACAAGTTACTTACCTGTAACTGTAGTTCTTTGCGTGGTCATCTATAATTCACATATATGGGGTGTTTCTGTGCCTGCACAAACTCATTGGAACATTCTAGTGCTTAAATAGAAAAACTGTTAGAGCATGGGGCAGCCCTGTGCATGTCCACTCACCTAGCAACCATCCCTTGGTTTCCCTAGTCCACCACTGTATATGAAATACTGTAATCGTGTGGTGGAATTAGTGGAGGATGGGCAAGTTACGTGAATTCATGGATAACAACTCGAAGAACTACAGTTACAGGTAAGTGTGAGGCTGGGAGTACCCCAAGGGGCACTCCTCAGAGTGCACTGTCTGCCTCCTTGACTGAAGACACTGAGGGACAGATGCCCACCCTGAAGGAGAACCTCCTAAAGGAACTGTGTTTGGAAGAGCAGGGGCAGAAAGAACAAGAGAAGAAAGAGCCACCAGAGGGTGTCATTTTGGTGGGAAAGGGAGATAAAATAAAATGGGGAAAGGGCGAAGGGGGCAGTTGGAGATAGAAGAGGGGGAAGCATATTGGGTGGAGGAAGAAGGAGATGAAAGAAAAAAGGACTGGGTTGAAATACCCTGTTTTCTGAAAATAAGACCTAACCTGAAAATAAGCCCTAGTATGGTTTTTTTGAGATGCTCGTAATATAAGACCTACCCCAAAAATAAGCCCCAGTTAAGTGAAACCCCGCTCTCCACCATTGTGCAGCAACAAAAAGATGACATGACTGTATTTGAATAAATGTAGATTGTTGTACATGAAAAAAATAAAACATCCCCTGAAAATAAGCCCTAATGCGTTTTGGAAAAAAAATTAATAAAATAATATTTTATTTTCAGGGAAACATGGTAGTGCAAGAGGACCCCTGGACAAGGGAGTGGACGGAGTTTAAGGTCCCTAGAGAGTATGCTGAGAAAGAGTGGAGGAGAAAAATGTATAGAAAGCCACCTTACTGGGATGAGACTGAAGAAAGGGAACAGAGAAGAAAGCTCTGAGAGTGACAGCAACGGGAGGCTCAGAGACGGGAGAACAAGCCATGGCCAGATTGTCCTGGGATACCCGGCGGGATGTGTCCCTTCAGGCCAAAAATGAGACAAAACCCAGGCAAGAAAGTGTGGAAACTACAGGTGGGCTGGGTTTTCCACCCTCCCCAATAAGTTCAGCTACAAGTGTATCCAAAGTATCAGGCGTTCCATGGACATGGCGTTACAGAGACTGCACAGAAACTCCTATGCAACCAGAGGGGGATTTGTTATGGTTTAATGAGAAAGGAAATGGTATCTCTGAAGCAAGAGGCAGAATCTGTGGTGTTTTTTTAACTTTTTTTATCACACCTATAAACACAAAACTAACAAAAAGCACACGAGACAAGCAAAAAAAACCCCCACATATAGGCAGGGTGGAGGCATTTCCCTACAATATAATCCATTATATAAATCTGACTGCATCAAACTTTTTGTTCTTAAAAATTTAGTTCAATATAAACCATCCTAAAGTTATAATAATTCTAGTGATTGATTTTTTTATAGATTCTTTCTCTTGCATCCTTGGATAACCAATTATATCTCAGAATATCA